CTGCTCTGAGCGTGGTGTTTTACTGCTCACACTGGTTATGTTTCGCAGTCTTCCATAGATGCATTTCTTGGAGCAGATGCTTGTTATTCCAAGATGAGCCGTGCTGGCTCGTCGTACTGTCAGTTGTATGAGAACTGAAGAGACCTTTTTAGAACATTAGAGGTTGGTTTTATAACTGTATTTACTGGATTAACGCTAGATGTTTTCCCAGCATATATAACTGAGATGCTGATGATGTCAGTGTTGATTATAAGAAATTTACTCCATGGAGGTTTAAAATCTGGTTCTGAGTAATTATTTTCCCCTTACATGCTTTAACACCAGCCATTCTTCACATGCAAACTCTTCACCTAGTTGTGCAGCTGTCCAAAACTTGGTGAATATTTCTGTTAGTTGTCCTTGTCTTATTTATTTAGTTGTCCTGTTGGCCATTTTCTTCTTTCAAAGCTATGCAAGTAAGGTGCAGATTTAAGAAAACTGTATGTCCACTCTGTGAATAAAATGGGTTGTACTCTATGGAAGAAGTGTGTCTAAGACTGGACTAGGATTATGATTTTAATCCTTAATACAAAATAAGAGTTATTTGCTGAGAGGAAAGCATTGAACCTTTTAACTTATGTAATTGGCACTGATTTCTGCTGAATCATGGAGGAGAACTAATTGTAGAAGTTCACTTGAGCCTTGAATCTTTTTATCCATACTCCTATTTCTTCTCACTCGCTGCAGTATCTCAATTCGAAAGAAGTTGAAGCTTTTGTTTAAGGAAGAGAAAAAACAGAAGAAAAAAAGTTTAATCCAACTGTTAATCATCATACCAGAACAAGTGTTATATACACAGTTCAATTTACAAGAGTGAAAAGCTGAGTTTTGCAGCAGGAAATAGTCGTTCTTGAATCAGACTGGCAGTACTGTGAGTGTTTCCTCTTTGTTCCTTTGAATGAAAAGTGCCGCATCAGATTAGCATCAAGAGCCAAAAGATATTTTTTTCCTGTAATCTCTGTCTTTCAGTATTCTTTTGGCTTAAAGCAAAATTTGGACCTTACAGTTTTATCTTTTTGAATGCTGATACTTCCTGAAAAAAAAGTCACAGTTGTCAATGCTTTTTGAACACAACATTCAAATTAATTTATAATAGTGGAAACCAGATTATACCTCATTTAATTAATTGAAATCGTGTTTGTGTGTACACACATACAGATACACACACACATATATTCTGTTTCTGGAAATATTTCTCCTTGTGGATTCATACAATGCTCTTACCTGCATTGCCATTGTTATATTCTGACTCTAGTAAAGCCTAGTAAGTAAATAAAAAAAAATAGTTTTCTGATTTTGTTCCTGTACTTAGGTTCAGTGCACTCTGTAGTCTTTAGTGTTACAACTAAATAGGCTCTCTCTTCCTGAATGCCATGAATCCTTTTGTAGGGATAGCTTGATGCAAGTAATTTTAAAATGTCTTAATTTTTTTAATAAGATATTTAATTAACAGTAATGATTTCATATGTTGACTACCACTGAGTAATTACAGTTTCGAATGAATGTCTGTGGTGGTGCTACAAAAGCTATAATCGTGCTTAGATAATAACCTGGCCAGGATAGCAGGTCACCCAGGATGTGATATGGCATGAGATGGTTAGGATGTCCAAGAATTGATTTGGAATTTGTTTTCCACGTTGGTGTGCTGAAATTTGAATCTAATGATTGCTTAGATGCTTTGTCAGACTCACCTGATTCTTTGCGGGTGCCAAACCAGTGCTTGAAAACATAACTGCATTTCACAACTATATTGCAGTGTGCACCATACCAACTCAGAAACCATAAAATCTAAAGACGAAAGGATGGTAGGGCACTTACCCAAGCAGCATACCAGGTTTTATACCTTCTTAGTCATATGCAATTTGTTGAAGAGTCAGGTTGTAAATGAAGCTAATTCCCAGTTCTGAGAAAGTGAAAAAGCCCATCAGAGTTTGCATAAAATAAATTAAATTTTTGCACCTGAACTCATATGCAGATACTTCTTTTGTTTTGGAGGGGCATGGCAGTCTCTGAGAATGCTGATCTTGGGACCAACCATCTTTTAGGTGGAAACAGATTTCAGACAGAGTATTTTTTATTATTGCAGTTCCACCCACATCATCTCCCTTGGACCATTGCATCCACTGGCAGAAAACAAGGTCCTATTCTATGTTCATCATTCCTTCAGTTAGTGCAGAGAATAAGATTTTTCTCATTAGTGAGACGTCTAGCATGATCACTGCTCAGCTGCCAGCAGGAGGTGGTGGAGTTGATGCATCTACATCCCAGTTCAGTCCAGGGATGGTCACCAGGAGGTTGAGAAGGCACAGCATCTCCTGCCAGGAGCACAACCCATTGCAGAAATCTCAGACTTTGTTCTGCCTGAAGATAATAGTCTTACTGTAGTTGTTGACAATAAGCTTATCTGACAGATTTTCAGGAATAATTAGAATCAGTGAACTGTTTCAGTAAGAGGAAATGCACATGCTCTAAATCAGGCAAAATACCTCCTTTTTATTTTGAATATATTGCACTTCTTTTAAGAAAGTAAAGCAAAACTATCCTGTCTATGGAAGGTCTTTTAATTGGAGGAAACCAAAGTGGACATTCTTTTCCAGTCAGTCACTGACAAGATTGGATCTGTCTCCAGCTTACAAGCGTGTTCATATGTGCATGGCAGTGAGCCACGCATCTGTGAACCTTCTTACTTCAGCACAGGAAGATTTTTAGGGGAGTGGGGTTTTGTTTGTTTGTTTGTTTGTTTTCCTGCTCCTATATAGTTTTATCAATATAACTGTGTTAATTGTAGTACTTTAAATTTGGGTAACTACACTATAGCTATGTAGACATGATTGTCAGAATGTATTCAGATGATGGTAATATTTGTATAATATATATAGTTATCTGGAAATGGGTATACTACTAATGTTCAAAACTTAACATATCTTTAAATCTGCAGATTTAATAACAAGTTTGGTATGTAATACGTGTTACAATCTGGTTTGATAAAACAAAGATGAGTGAAAATTAAGTAGAATATGCAAAGATCTTATTACCTATCTGTCTTTGTAAGCGTACAGCCTATGTTTTACTGACATAAAACTGTCCATTCATCTGAAGTGAGTAATATTTGCGAGTATTGAGTAACAAATAACTTTTATATCCTTGATTTGGACAGCTATGGAAGATCTTTTGGCTGCATTGAGTGTGAAAATATTTTCTCTACTATTATCTTTTAATATAATTTGTGCCAGATTTTAGTAACCAGTAAAATAATTACAAGAACACACTAGTTTTTTTCCAGAGATTCTAAGAACAGAATTCAGGGAATACACAGAGCACAGTAGATTCATAAAATAATCAGAATTTTTATAGGGATATGATGGAGTATCAAAGAGAAATAACTCTCCAATGACAGTCTCTTAAGCTCGAGAGACCTACAAATCTAGTTTAGAAAAAGAAAATAATTTAAAAACCTGTTCAAATCTAAAAGAACAAACCTTCACTGTCATCTTCTCCATATCATTCCTGATTTTGTTGACTTCCGTAATATTCACAGCAGTTACGACTTTTCTAGATTAAGAACTTGGTCTGTTCAAAGCCTCATAAAGAATCCGTTTCATGCTGTGGTTCGTAATGTTGTTCCCTGTAATTTTTCTAATGGTACTGTATACTTTTTAGGGTTATGGTGCCCCAAATTACACGCACTTCAAAGTAAGGGCTTCCCATCGTTTTAGAGAGGGTCACATGATGTTTTCTATTTTGTGTTTTTCACCCTATCATTCTTTCTAATATTTTAATTTCTCTTTAAGTGACTGTTCTTGGGTATTGTTTAGATACGTTTAGAAAGCTGTTGACACTGACTCCATTAATTCTTTTCTGGGTGGTGGTAGTTTAGCACCCATCGTTATATATCTGTACATTACAGTCATTTTACCCCTTAAGAATTATTTTACATTTATTGCTTAATCCTGCTGATATCCTTTGCCATCAATTTTAGCTTTGATTGTGCTCAGTAATTTCTTATCAGGAAACTTCAACTCCCTAATCACGTCTTTTCCTGATCTTTTATATTTTGAACAGCACAGATCCTTTGGGGGTTGCATAGACAATTGATTTTAATCAGGTGCTAATCCCTGAAAAGAACTTCTCTTTCACCCTGGACAGCAACGGTCTTTGACACAGTTTGTTAAAAGCTAATTGAAACGCCAGGTGGGATGCCAGATCACCTGTACATGTACATGTCATGATTCCTTCAGAGGATCTGGCAGACCTGTGACACTTGCGATTGCTGGTTTACAGGATGTGTAGGTACGAAGGGACCTCTGGAGGTCTCTAATACCACCCCCTGCATAAAGTCCATGTGCTCATGGGCATTTTATCCAGAGGAGATTTGTGCCTCTCCAAGGACAGAGGCTCCATGGCTTCGCTGGGCCCCTCTTCCAGTGTTTGATCAACCTCACAGAAAATAATCTTTTCTTTACGTCTAAAAAGAATTTCCCATCTCCCAGCTTGTGTCTGTTGCCGTAGACAACAGTAATAGTATGTTGTCCTCTCCCTACACACCTCTGAGAAGGGTCTGGCTCGGTCTGCTCTGTGCTCTGCTGCTGTGTGGTTGCAGGTGGCACCCAGGTCTCCCCTTGGGCTGCTCATCTCCAGGGTGACCAGACCCCTTCCCTCAGACTCTCTGGGTACATCCTGTACTCCAGCCCCAAACCAGACTCTCCAATAGCTGGACTTGCTCCAGTACGTCCATATCTCTCTTGTTGTGTGGATCCCAGAACTCAGCGCGGGGTCTGGCTGAGAGGAAGGGTCGCCTCCCTCGCCCTGGGGGCTGCACTCGGGCTGGTAAGGCTTAGTACGCGGTCATCCTTCTTGTTGCAAGGACACACTGCTGAATAATGTGAACAATTAGACATGTTTCCCTTTCCAAGGTCTTTGTAGGCTCCCTTGATGTTTCCATATTTAACTGTATCCCTCTATTAATGATTCAACCCCTCTGCCAGTCAGCAGACCTGCTTACTGAAGAATGTTATCGCATTTGCTGTGGTTTTGTTCTCTTGAACCGAGACCAGTTTACGCATTAGTTAAACACCAGTAGTGTGTGTGCTCAGCAGTTGCTGTCTGGATTAATTCCACCTGGTCCTGATAACTTGTTTTTATTCATAGCCAGTTTGTTTTGAAATATTTGCTGTGGACACTTTAATGTGACACAGTTCTCATGTTTTCCTTGTAACAGGATTTTGAAAGTGAGTTTCTTTAAGTTCTTCCACAGCAAATGCTGACGCAAAGAATGCATCCAGCTTTTCTGCCATGCCTTTATCTTTCCTGTATATTTTCCTCACACCTTGATCATCTCCTATGGCTGCAGGCACTGGCCCACTTTCTGCTTTTGATATGTTTGAAAAAATACACTATCAAATGTAATACTCCCTTTTTTTCTTTTATTTTTTTTTTCTCATAGCTTCCACTATTTCACTGATCATACTGTGATTTTTATTGTAAACATGGAAGCCCATATTTGATTTTAGGACTTGTTTTTAACTTTGTTTTTGACAATTTTCCACCTAAATTTTATTCTATGGTTTTACACTTGAGAGTGATGCACAATCTAACTTTTGTGTTTTTCTGTGTATAGTGCATGACGATCATAAACTTTATTATACTTTTTATAGGAGTATCATATTGTGGATTAAAGTTTGCTGCTGTTAAACATATTTAACTGTTTTGATAGGTGTGCTTTGGAATACCCACCCAGTACCTTTGGTGAACATGCTTTGCCTCAAGCGTGGAAATTGTGCTCTCTTTGCACCCTGTATTCTCAGTCAGCATGTTAATATCTTACCATGATTCAGTGTCTTTTTTTACAGTGAAGACATACCGATGGAAAATTTTCTTGCTAATTACTTCTTGGGCGATGCTTTGCTGTTCCCAAAGTAACTATAAAATACGTACTGTATAGTCTGTGCTTATTTTACTAAGGGAGACAGTGGAGACACATCATTCTATTCTGTCACTTAAAATATTTCAAGTGTTATGGAATATTAAAAATATTCCAGACACCAGGCTCAGTGCACTTTTATTCACTGAGAAGAGTGTATTTTGTTATTAAGATAAAATAATAAAGTATTTTGTATACTCAGCATTAGGGCTCTGGAACCTTTGGGCTGTCCAGATACCAGCCAGCATTTCCAGAATTTCAAGTGGATTCCTTAATATATTGAAATAAGTTGTGCTTGTCTGCTGCATTGAAAACATCTGTGAACATACTGAAATGCTTATTTCAGTCATTGCTGTGGTTTTGTGACCTACATAGTTTTTGCACAGAGATAGATAGAATATATAAAGAGATTCTAAATTGTTCTACGTAGTGTCTTATCCCCTTCATGTGACTGTGTACTCCATCCCGTGTGCTGGAATGAAGCAAACAGGAATATTTTGATAAAACGCAAGGTGGAATAAAGTAGAATTATAATTATTATGATGTGTTTATAATACCTAGCTCCTGTAAAGCTTGTTAGAAAATGCAGATCTGCATGTGCATATTTGAAACCTATACAGAGAAAGGTGTACGTGTAGGTTATGTATATGTGGAAAGTAATTCCATGTGAGAGAATTCTAGATCTACACAACTAAGATGTGAATGCAATTTTGTGCAGAATGGAATACTGGTGTTCTAGGGATACTGGGAGCCCTATATGGGGATTACTTCTGTGCTTTTGGAAGACAGGTAACTCAGTCATTCTGAATAGTTTAAAAAAAGATATCATAGTTCCAATTGTCTTGAAACTATTTACTGAAACCTAGTGTTTTGGGAGTATTTGCCGTAGGTTGATTGGCTCCACAGTCTAAGCATTAACCTCTTCATAGTTATACTTCTATGTTTGGGGCATTTAGACAGATTCTCTGCTTGTGTATTCACAGTGCCTTTAAAGGTGTGAGTACATAGCTGTAGCAGCAAATTTAAGGTAGTTACGGAACTGCTTATTTCCGTTTACGGTGCAGGAAGTTATGATCTTTGAGACCTTTGAGCTCTGTCGTACTTGGTTATGCTTTGTTCAAAAGTTTATAGCAAAGGGGTGGTTTGTTTGGTTTTTTTTAAGCTTCATCTTGCCATGGTAGCCCCCATGTTCTGTTTTACTAATTAAGAAGTGTGTGAATCACTATACCATATGAGTAAGACACGACAGAAATCAGTAGTCCCAGCTTTAAATCCTTACCTCTGTATTACCCCATTTAGAGCCAGACAAGCTTGCAGAAAACAATTAATTAAATGTAAATTATTTTGAATAGCCAGAGCTGTTTTTATTTTACTACTCTTCTTTTCATCTGTGTTTCATTTGCCTAGCTGTCTCCAAAAAAACTTTGTAAGCAGAAAAATGCAAATTTGTGTTAAAATTTACATTAGCTTTAAAAAAAATTAATTAACATCACTTGCATGAAGGAGGATATGGCCTGCCTTTAAATATCCATCATTATTAGCACTGATGAAAAAAAGAACAACATGTGCTAAAAGGAAAAAAGAAATTTGTGGTAAAAATGCAAGTCAGAAACTGGTTGGTGTGTCCTATTTATAGTTGTAATGGTAAAATATTTAAACTGAGTTTTATCCTTTAAAATTCTCAGATGCAGATCGACATTGTGAACTTGCTGGAAATCCTCTGAAGATAAAAAGCACCAGAAAACCACTGTCATGTATCATTGGGTATTTAGGTGCGTATCTGCCTCCAGTGAAAAACAACCCACATGAACATTCAGTGTGTGCTGATACTTAAAAATCCTATATGTAGAGAATGAGAGATGTATGCTTTTAGTAACAGGAAAACTATAAAGTTAATAAACAAAAATTTTGGTCTGCTATCAGTTGCAAAACTGCACGATTGAACTTGCAGGATGTAGGCAGAAGGCCTTCTGATACTGGTTTAAAATGGCAGAGTGAAAGCTGATGTAATTTAGGATGTGGAAAATAGTCTGGTAATCTAAATAATAAGTGCTCAAAGGGGAGATACTCAGCATGCTCAGGGCTGCTCTACTGTGCCCCTTGAATCCACTTGTAATACTCCTCTGTACTTAAAAGGAGGAGACCTCAGCCACACCGAGACACTGATCTTTTAATTTTTAAAAGATGCGATGAAATCTGTACTGAGATCCCAGCCAAGAGGACTGTGAACTCACATAAGATAAAGGGGAGAGGATAAATTCTGGTAATTGTGATTCCTTACTAAAAAACCGAAAGTCATCCTCTTTGCAAGGAACCACCACTGCCTATTAAATATTTACACGGTTATGGAAGAGTTGAGCTACCCCAGAGGCTCTTTATTAATTCTCAAATGCATATGGAAATCAGTCCATTGGTCAGAGAAGCAGTGAATAATCCTGCAGTGTATTAATCCTGTTCTACAGAAGTGATGCCTAGGGTGGAGCTCAGTCTAGATGTTTTGCTCAAAATTTCAACCAACAGGAGTTTTTTTGTACTGGAACAAAGTAAATGATAGCAGTCTCTTGACTTACTGAAATAGAAGTCAGCTGTTAATGTAGTTATAACCGTTCTTCCAGAACATCTATCTTAAACAAAATCCAAACTTCAGAAAACTGGATAGCAAAGAATGAATGCCCACTCTCACTGAATTTTGATTCCTCCTGCCCTGGAGTTTAAGAAAAAAGATAGTGGTAATTTCCTACGGGCATCCCAGCTGTGTGCGTTACAGATGTTGTCATTAGAGTGGTTTGATCCAGTTGGTGGAGCTGTGGTTGTGAGGGGACAGTCCATCAGGAGAGATGGGTGGTTCATCTGGCTGACCCTGTCTATGCACTCAAACCAAGAAATGGCGACGTGTGTAATCTTAGCAGATACTGCATGGTCTTAGTGCCGTGTTACTTAGTCAGCGAGGGGGTCGTCTTGATGCCTCTGGGAGCATAATTCTGTAGGTTTAATGGAGTAGAGGGATGAACAGTTGCAGGTAGCATTATGTGTACTTAGATGAAGGCTTTGGAGAAGATAAACAGTGCTAAAATATACCAGGTACCTGTAGAGTCCGCTTAGCCTTTGACTGTGCAGGAAGTGAAGGTATCTCACTGCAGATGCCGGTAAGTGATAGGTGTTACAGGGATATGAAGTGTACCCAGTGTAGCTGTGGACGTGCATCTGAATTAGCTGTATAGGGATGGCTACAAAATAGATTTTTGTTTGCCATTTGGCTTGGTGGGTTTGTTTTGGTTTGGTTTTTTTTAGTTTAGTTTGTGACAGTTTTTTGTTTGTTTGGGATGTTTGTTTGCATGTTCCAGTGGATAAGTAATGCTTACATTATTTTTTCCTCATAAAATTTATCATTAACTATCATGTCATAGTTTATACAGGTGGTATTTATTTTCTTTTTAAAATTCCTTCCATGCCATTCCCACAGGCATTTATTGGAACACAGTTAACTCTGTCTCTCAGGGCACTGCTGTTTTCAGCCCTCCTGATAAGGCAGAGAGGATTTCAGTGCCCTGCACATCCCGGGTCATCACTTCCCTTTATCCCTGTTCCGCATCTTGGCTGCCAGTCCCTCAGGTGAGGTAGGTTAAGCATTAAAGAAGGCCCTGTCCTCCAGAGAGCTGGGGCTAATCCCCTGTAATCTTTTCAGTCATCACTGTGCTTACTAAACAAACCCCCCAAGGGCATTCCCTGGCTAATTAAATGTCCTATATTACCTCCTAGTTATGAGGAAACCAGGCTAATGTTTCCAGCTGGGATGCATGTTGAGGAGATGAGATGAGAGAGCAGTGCAGCTGCTTAAGCACCTCTGGAAGCCAGGATGCTTATTTAAGTGACTCAGTAGGAGACTGACTTCTCTTTGCTTTGATTTATTTTTTTTTCCCCTAGTGATATGAGTGGAAATAGAAGCTTTTAGAGTCGTTATTGCAAATTACTTGTTTAAGGCTGCAATCTGGTCCTATAATAAAGGTTCTTAATAGGTTGTTCAAGTACTGTTTCTTTATTTTTGTTTCAGAAATTATCATATGATCCTAGTCTGGCCAACTGGTTATCTGTTGTGTGGCTAAGGGATAATTTTGATTATTTGGATGTTATAGTTCTCTGAGTTAACAGAAGGTGCAGGTGGCCAGGAGATTTTCAGTGAAGTACTAGGCAATAGAACAAGGATAATAGCAGCAGAAAAAAAAATGCCTAATTACTATTATTCCATAATACAATAATATGATTGGATAATGTAATTCAGGCAAAATCCCTGAAATGCCTCATTACTTCTCTCAGGGGTGATGAAGCAGCTAGTTAGAAAGTGCTGATCTAAAGCATGCAAATGCTTGAAGCAAGTCCATATGTAGAAGATGAATGAGTGCGTGGTGTAAAGACCCCACAGGAAGGACTCAGGCTATTGGGAAGTGGTCCTGGCGGTTTGATTAAGTTCCTTTCTAGAACTTAAAAGGCGAGCTTGGTCTTGCTACCTTCCTCTGTGCAGAAAGAGAAAGGGCAGCCTTTGTGGTAAACTAATGAAGAATTAGTGACCTCCAGACTGAAGAAAAGTCAAAGGAAGTAAATGCTTCCTTCTTCAACTGTTCACTCACCCTGAAAATAGAAAATTACATCTCCTATACGCTGCAGGCAGAAGGAATTTACGAGTTCCAGTATGTTGATGCAACTTCTGGGATTGTTGTGGATGCTGCTGGAGCTCTTTGGCAGATAAGATAATATTTTTGTGGTGTTACCCTGAAAATTAACTATTCCCTTCAGAAAATTGGAAAAGATTTCCAAATGAGCATTTTAGAATCCAAATTTCAATCACCTTCAGCAAACAGTGCAAACCTTTCTGTTTCAGCCGGAAGTTTTACTTTAGCAATCAGTAGTGTTTATAACATTAAGCACACCTCTGTTCTCATTTTAGTAGAAACACAAAATAGACACTTGTTCTCTACAACATGAAAAATGGGCTGTGCCATGAAATCTGCTGGGAGCTTGGTGTTCCTAAACTCTTTTGTATGAAAAGCAGATGAGTATTGCAGTGAATGGCAGTAAAAAGCTCTTATCTAAGTAAGTGGTGAGAAGATCAGTGACATCAAATTAGCTCTTCCCCCCTACCCCCACCCTGTGCCCCAAATCTACAGGACTGCCCTGAAGCAATTACCTGTACCCTGGCTCTGTGCTATTCTAACACCTGCCTGGTGCATTACCCTACTCTACTCTTTCTCATCTGACCCTCTTGAAGCATCTTGGATGAGAGTGTTCATTCTCTGAGAGGATGGTTGCAAGCTCTGACCAAACCAGTGATTAACAATTCAGCACTGGTGTGCTTGATCATCTTAATTGTGCCCTTGTCTCCTCCTGGCATGCTCTTCCCAGTACAGCCCGGCCAAGTCTCTGTGGCCATCCTACTCCTTTGCACCTGTTTGGATACTGATGAAACTGTTTGGCTGTCCCCCTGTTATGTATCTGCCTTTTAAAGGTCACCACGTCTTCCAGTACCCTTCCAGTACTTAAAGGGGGCTACAGGAGAGAAGGGGAGGGACTCTTGATCAGGGAAGGTAGTGACAGGACCAGGGGTAACAGCTTCAAGCTGAAAGAGGGTAGATTTAGATTAGATATTAGGAAGAAATTTTTTCCTGTGGGGGTGGTGAGACACAGGAACAGGTTGCCCAGGGAAGTTGTGGATGCCCCATCCCTGGAGGTGTTCAAGGCCACGTTGGATGAGGTTTTGAGCAACTGGGTCTAGTGGGAGGTGTCCCTGCCCATGGCAGGGGGGTTAGGACTAGATGATCTTTGAGGTCCCTTCCAACGCAAACCATTCTGTGACTTCTCACGGCACACCCCCAGCCTCCCCTGCAGCCGCGCTGGTTGCCAGTGGGGTGGGTTGGGCTGGGGACCTGCGGGCTGTGCGTGAAGGCTTGCCGTGGGAGCGAGACTGTGAGGCCAGGCAGGCGGGTGCTTGGATATCAAACTTCCTTAGCTTTTCTGAAAGAAGAAAAATCTGCTATCGCTGTGGACTTTGATTTTGTGATTTCTGTTTCTCCTGCATGATAGCTGTGAGTAGCAGAGGCTGGAGGGCCTCCTCCTTGGATACCTGGCCTTATTTTAGATTTGGCATGTTCCCAGCTTCTGTGCTTTATTTCATAATCAGAAAAGCAGAAGGAAGCACTCTTCAGGAGGTGCAAACCTGGGCTGCAAAATAGGAAGGTGCATAACTTTTGTCTTCTGATCTTACTCCCCTTGGAGAGTTGACTCTCCTGACCCATCTCCCAGCCCCTATGCCCTCACATTCTCAGCCCCGAGGTCTCTTCTGCTCAGCGGGGCAGTCGGGTGGCCGGCTGCAATCAGGCTGCAAGCACCTCGCAACCTGCGCAGTGCCGGCAGCGGGTGCTCTGTGGCTGTGTCAGAGGAATGGGGACCTGCCCTGGGGCTGTCTGGATTCCCTCGCAAATTTGGGTCTGTCCAAGGACAGACACAGTGATGGCCTTTTGAACCCAAATGTGTGATGGGAATAAGTTGGTTCAGCAAATTTGTGGTGAAGGACACGCAGACTCTACTGAGGCTTCCTTTGCCAGTTTTATCTGGCAGATAACTGAGAAATTTCCATACAACTGTGTCAGCTTTTGGCAAACACAGCAGCTGCCACTTTGAAGTGTGCCGGACAGATGTTTGTCACTGCCTCTTACCCACCTTTCTTCCTCCTTCTCCAAAATAATCCTACACTGTGAAATGTGTTAGATACTCTGGGATGTTTGAAGGTCCCTGGTAATGACTCAGTACAAGAGTCTGCTGGTATCTGGGGAACCTCGTGCAGTCTTAACGATTTTTGTGTTCCTGCTGCAGACTTTGGGTAGTTTTAGCTTTGGAGCCCTGCTGTGGCTGGCTCCCTGGTACTTCCACCTGGTGACTTGTTTGGGAAGATACCTTACAGCTTGTTATTGTAACAGAAAATATTGAATTGCTTGAGGTACTGAGGTGATTTCACTATGCTTTTATTTGCTTGCTGAAACATCCGCAGGCATGTAGGTCCAATACAAACCTCCAAAGGGTAGGAAAATGTAAATACAGACCTGTTTTGGATTGATTTGTATTATCTCTTCAGTCTCTGAGATCCTTATGCGTTTACACCATAGTATTCAATTTGGGCAATCTAAAGTGAAATAGATTTTTTTCTTACTTGGAGGAACCGTAGGTTTGAAGACTTGTGTTTGAATTGTTATTCAAGGTCCTGTAAACACAGTCATACAGAAGAATCTTCCCTTTCACTGGAAATTTAAATGTAAATTTAATATGTTGAATAGACTATTTAAATTCATTTTTTAAAATCAAGTGTGTATAATTTTTCTCTCTCTTTTGTTTCAGAGATTCATCCTGCCGTGAAACCCAATGTAATCAGGTCAACGCCAAGCCTTCAGAGTCCAAGTGCAAAACGACTGCTTGCACCCTCCAATCACTCTTCATTAAGTATTTTAGGAAAAAGAAACTACAGCCACCATAATGGTCTTGATGGTATGTGAAGGAATGTAAAAGAAGTACTATTTTAAGCCTCTGAATTACAAAGCTTTCTGTGGACCTGAGATGACATGAAATAAGGCAGTACAGACTGACAGAAATGTAAGATATGGATGGCATGCTTATAGCATTGATTCTTAATGCAATGAATGGGGATGCTTATTAATTGAACAGGAATATATTAATGCCATCTCTTACAAAAACTCATTTTACCATTTTTCTTACTAATCTTGATATATAAGGACAAGAAAAGAATGAAACAGATTTGGTGAAGGCAGAGATGCAACATGTTTTATTTCAGCTTATTGCATTGCATTTTTACTTGAAGACATGTTTTGCAGAAATATACAAGACCTTTTGAATTACTCTGTGTGAAATTACTTGATACATACTGGACCCGCTGGTTTACAGCCAACCTCTTTGCTAGTATGTGAATTCTAAACACAGCTTAGTCTGCATTCTCAACAGTGTGATTGGTAATAGAGGGAAAATGGCTTTTGGCATCTTGCATCCCAAGACTGGTGTTAGGAAAGAACTAGTCCTGACAATAAGGACAGGTGGAAGGTAGGAGCTCCTTAGAAAGAGACTGTCCCTGCTTTTATGCCACTTGTGGAAGAGGAAGGAAGAGGGGTGTCCCAGAGGTACAGGAGAGGTGTTTCCTGTACGCTGTGCAGCGCCAGAGGTGATGCGTGAGGCTGGTGTATACGCATCCAGCCCCTTCATTGCAATATGGTGCAAATAGAGAGCAGATATGAAGCTCTGCAAAAAAAGATGTAAATTTGTGGTATGAGGTATCTTTGGGTTTTGATAACAAATTTATCTCCCATAAAAAACAGTTGCACTATCATCTTCTGTCATGTATCAATCTTAATCATAATTTTTATTTGTATTTCCATTAAAAATTTATATTTTTCAGTCCTGGTTGTAGTCACCTTGGCTCTTTTTATTGCTTAATTCCTCTTCCCCATGAGGTAAAATGGAAACGAAAATGAAACTCTCAAAAACAATCCGTCAGTCAGTAGTAATGATACTCAACAGCACAGGTCCTCTGTTCCTTTTGACTTAAAAATGGTTACCTTTAATATTTGCCATTTAACCCCTTCTCTGATTATCAGTAAATATCAAATACATTTTTGGGGCTTTCATGCATCCAGCTTTTCTCTAGTATAGAGTAAAAACAGAGTGACCAGATCAACTTGGGAAAGGGTAGTTTCTGTGTAACTGGATGACAATGGCGTACTATCTGTGCAATGAAAGTTTTTGCCAACTTGCAGAGTTTTTGTGTCACTATAAATATACTAAAAAGCTTTTTTTGGTTACAAAATACTATTGATTGTTGTTGGGTTTATTGCATTGTATCAATTAACAGTATCCAGAAAGCCTGGAGATGATGACATATTCTGACTTTAAGTGCATGCTTTGATGAAATGAGCACACAAAAATGAGCACAGTGGGCTTACATTAAGCCTTGTATTTTGCTGTTTTCATAATCTTAATGTTATTGACATAGAAATGTCTGCATGTTCAGGTTTGCTTGTTTTCAACAGTATTAGAAATTTGTCAGAAAGAAGCCATAAAAATATATTTACTTAAGATATACAGTAATTTAGAGCATTCAAGTAAATGTCAGTCTTACTGCATAGGTGAGTTGAGTGCCATATTTTGGCAGAATTTGTTATTAACAAAGTAGTAATTATTGTCTCAGAACTAAAGCAGTGTAATATGGAAATGGCACTTGTGTATGCCTGTATGGGAGAGTTGGGCGGAGATGACGAGAAACATCATTAGTATTTGGCTTAATGCTTTTAAGAGTAATAAATGAGAACATGATGAGCATTTCTTACAAAAGTCTTATGTTGGCTTGAGTCTTGATTTTGGCCAGTGCAGTACAAGTTTCCCTTTCAATTTTCCACGTACGCACCTCCAGCAAGAGTCTGTTGCGGCTGATAGGGATGAGGAAGTCCGATTTCTCACTGCTTTTGCTCAGTCTTGATCGAGAATTGTGAGGGACCTTATTTATCTCTTCATAAATGGTGGGGTTTGTGCCCTAATATCTTGCTATTAAGTAATCTGAGTATCAGTCACTGATGGCTGAGAGATGTAGTTGTAGTTGTTGTGTGCATGAGCCCATTAAGGCATAGACCTGAATAAAATTATACTGCTTAAGCATTGTGTATTTTAACTAGATAGAAGATCTTGTAGTTCTTTGTGTTGTTTCTTGTAGGAGAAAAACTTTTTCTGGATGGTCTTAGAAAAGTGATTTCCTTTTATTTTCAAACAACAGCAAATCTTGCATTCTGTAGGATGGAATGAAAAATGCCAGAAAACTGCTTTTTCATTCTGTAAAAAAGTCGCAGTACCTTGGGGAGTTTTCGTGTAATATGCATGCCGGTGCTTTTAACTATTCTGAGATGCAGAATTTCCATTGCTGCTGAAAAGAAAGTCAACACAAGATATTTAAATGGTTCTCAGCAGTGAAGACAGTCTCTTTCAAATGGGAAAACTCTGTTTTCAGAAAACCAAGACGTTGCAGAATGTTATGTGTATCCAGTTTTTATGACTGGAGTTGATGTTGGGGAGATTTAGATGTGACTGTAAAGTGCTCTGTAGATATTTTGAATATGATCTTTAAATTATGTTGTCTGAAATTATTCTGAGCAATTACTTTCACCCACAAGCTGGTTAACTGTGAGCAGCAATACATCCAAGTAGTCAAGTTTCATGTCAGACTATTGGCAGGGTGAGTAATGATAATTTTCCGTATAATATTTGGGAAGATCAGGTAAAGGTATTTTACGTGAGTATAATGTCTGTCAACTGGTGGGCATTTTCTTAGTTTTACATGCACCAGAACCAGAATATCCACAGGATGCCCAAGATATTAACGTCACTAATGAGGTACAGAAATCAGTCTGTGCCTGTTGATACTGGTTTCATGACTTGTAGGCAGAAATGAGAGAACTGGTTGTTCATAGCTGAGGAGACTTTAATGAACAGCCCCGATCCTCCTCCTCCTCTCTTTCCAAAACTTTAATGCTGTATTTCAGGCTGAGATTTCCTGATGTCTTCAGGAGGATTCTTTCAACAGTCAAATTTATTTTCCTGAATATATTGAGGTATGCAGCTGTATCTTAAAATGAGACAGCAATTTTGGGGTCCGTTTTCGTAGGAACTGGCACATCTCTGCCACAGCAAGATGAGAAAATGACAGGAGCAATTGGCAAAAGGAGGAAAACCTCCAAAAAATGTACCTTCTCTCTTAGATGCTATTTTGGTCAGTCCCTCTCTCTCTGTGTATGACTAATAGTATTGGCTATTGAGGAGATAAGCAAGGAAGAAAGGCTTATATTTCACTCTTGTTTTTCTGTGGGGAATTTGAGACTATCCTTTGACAAACACATGAAAATATAAGCAGCCTAGCTGACAAACAGGGAGACAGGAGCCTTTCCTACCTGAAATTTTCCAGAAAGGAGAAAACAATTGTAATATGTGCTTCTTCATAATTAACTTCATGTAACCCCATATGAAGGTATATTAGAAGGAAGGACTTTTCACCATGGATGGAATTTCTCAGTGGAAGGAGTTGTTTTTTTTCTCAAAGGTGTCTGATTGTTGTTATCACAGTACTATTTTTTGGTAGAAAAAAAGGGCAGGCTGGCAGCGAGGAATGCATATCAAAATCATCTGTCTCTGCATGACTTTAAAAAATAAAACTTTAAATTTTCTCTTACATATTAATAAACTATATACCTGCCTAAATTGTTATAAACCTCATTATAACATACTAGTGATTTCCAGGTGAAAGAGAATAAATGAGATCTGATAAGCTACCGTGTGAATCCATTTTTTGCCATTTCTTCCGTGCTGAAACACAAAGTGTGATTAATGTTGAGTTGTGTATACCCACTTTTTGCAAAAGTGAGAAACAGAAGGTTTTTTTTATCTGAATTTCGCTTTGGGCATGTGCATCCTAGCTTTGGTCCTTTGGTATAGCCAGCAAACATTTTGAAATGTTTGGGTACAGATCTCTTTTACTGAAATCTTTGCACTGATGTTGATGGAAATGTGAGCACAGAAAGTAGATTCACATCACAATTATCTCCCAAATATTTGAGGTTCTTTGATTACAAAGAAAAGAACCGTCTTGTATCCTGTGTCCCAAGAGTGCTAAAACTGCAGAGTATTTTTTTGTCGGTAGAAGTAATCAGTGTGACTTCTTTATAATGAATTTGGTCACAGGCAAACTTGGAAGGAGCAAAACCATTTCTGCAAACTGGTGTTCCCTTGAACAACTTCTGAGAAGGCACTGTTCCTAGGCATTAATGCAGTATAAACTGTATTGTGGGTTTTAAAAATAAAGACAGTAATTGCTTTTGTTTTGCCAAAGTTAAAACACGATTTCCATTCAGCTGTAGTTATCAGGCTTGCTGTAGCTTCTGAAATGTGAGTTATTTCCAAGGGTAGAAGTACACTAGAAATGGAATAGGGGATTTTTTTTTTTGTTATTTTTTTACTTTTATTTCCTTCCTTTCAAAAATGTATCTTTGGACTTAGAACGCTGCTTTGCCTACATTTGGTTCAGAAAAAAAGCCGCAAAACTAGAATCACATTCATGCTTTGATTAACTACTTCAAGTTTGCCATACATCACTTATATTTTGTACTAAGAGAATGAATGCTTATGAAAAGAATATAGCATTGCCTCTCTGTATTCACCACTGTACTATGTGCTTCCAATAACAGCAGGGGATAGAAAGAGCAAGCTAAGAGGGATTGCAGATGGAGGAGAGGGCACTTCATGATGACCCACCCCATTTCTGCTCCTCAATTGGTGTTTCTTTTTTTATATACAGGTAATGTGTAGGCATGAAACTGCAGTAGCACTGTCTTTTCTAATTGGCAGAATAAATCATCTCTTTAAACAGGAAACAATAAGAGCAATACCATAATTAAGTTAGCCTTCAAAACATAGTGCAGATAACCAGAACCTAATTCCTGGAATCGCTGTTTTCGCCTAGTATTATTTTAAAGAATTAAAGTTGCAGAAAGAGAATCCTGTCTGTTGGCTAACAGGATTAGCAGTGTATTACCTTATAAATTCTGTGTTCTGGATTTGAGATCTGGAGTTCACACTTAAGTGCTTCTGTGTATGATTACTGTCAAGGAGGTGTGTTAGTTTTGTAAGCTGTGATTGCAGAACAATAGTTCTTAGCAATTCTAGTACATAATGCAATAGAAAAGGCACCTGCAGAAAGTGCGTAAGCAGCATAACTGGAAAGATGCTGTGTCTGGGGAAAGTGCTTTGTGATTGTTTTGTACGTTTGTGTGTTTTTTTGCTTTTCTTATCTGTATAATGTTTCTCCAGTGTTTCAGATCTCAATGTTGGGAGGCCAGGGGTCTTCCTCAAATAAATTCAAACTCACTCTTAGTATAATTACAGGATACATAGTTTTCTTGTTTCATTGCCACAAACTGGTAGGAAAAAAACAAGTATTTTCGTTACTTAAAATATTCATAACCTGAGTTGAGAAGAAATAATGAGTCTTCCTTTCTCAGCATATTTCATAAGGCCATCTATCCTTGGTGAAAAGGCTCTTTATAGTCTCATTCGCCATGATAAAACTGTGAATGTTACTAGGATTAAACACCTCTGCTATTGCATATCTGTCTTTATTTTCCATATGTCTAAATGACATTATCTTGAAGCATAGTTATTTTGAAACGTTTAGAAAAGGGAACCTTTCACTCACTAGTATTGCTGATGACCCCATTAGTATAAAAGAGAAAGATGAGTGTCACATAACTAAGTTTCCTATCAGCAGGCTGACTAAAGAATAGCACATATGAACATAACACATGAACAGCTGGAAAGCGACTGGAGTGTTATTAAGGATGTGGCTTCTGTCCTAGCTTGAAGAACCCTTAAGGGAAAAAAAAAAGTATTATGTTACTAGGGAATAATACGTAAACCTGAAATAATACTGTATCTGGCACCATCCCTTAGCAATGGACGTTTTCTGATTTAGCCTTAAATGGTTTTGCGATGGGAAATGTTATAGTCTCCTAGTGCCTGTAAACAGGGAGAAACACTTCATTGGTCAGTACGGTTGGTAAAGAAACTTCTAATGTGAGGTAATTTATTTTTACAACTTACACATTTCTGTTTGAGTTCAAATGAATATGTTGTAGGAAGAGCCTATGAGCATCTTAGGCAGTTTCTGCCATTGGTGCATCAATTTCTCCACAATAATAAACTTCTAACATCTTGTCAGTACTGTAGTTGCATTTACTGTCATTTTCTCGCATCGGATCACCAAAACCATTAGTGATGTTGTCTGACCATTTATCTTTAAAGTGGAGTAATCCACTTCACTAGCACTTCATTTGGCCGTAAGGGGAGAACCATTCTGCGTTCTGGAGTTTCCTTTCTACTGCAGAAGCACAAGTGCAGGTTATTGCCTTGCACAAAATCATTTGCTATAAGAACTCATTTATAAACCAAATGTCCACGGGTGCGTGTTTCACTGAGATTCAAAGCCTGATTATTTAAATTCCCTAAGGCATTCTGAAACTTGGCAGATAAAACTGAAATCCCAAAGGTTTGTTTTCTGTTCTGTTGAACACCAAGACATTTGTGGTTTTTAAATAAGCTCTGTTGCCCTCAAGCTGCGTTGGAGGTTGCATGGATGTGCAGACCTTTTGTAAAACATGTTTTTTCGAATGCTGCATGACAGTCTTTTTAACTGGAAGCAAGGGCTTTTGTCCTTAGTTGCATTAATTAAATGCAGAGTTTTCCAGAGAATTGGTTGGTGTGTGTTCATGTTAGATGTTGGTGAGAATCCTGTCAAATCAGAGCGTAGTTATTGTCTAGAAGAAATTAGTGTCTCCTCAGTTCTAAAATCTGAATATTTGGGTTATCAGAATATGTAAGAGTTTAAATTGTGTAACAACAGTACCTTAATTAGTAGTCTTTGTTAGACCCTAGAATCTTTTGACTGTCTACTTATTAAGCAGTTCTTTCCCTTTTTATTTATGGATATACTCAGGTCTTTCTAAAAGATGTTTGGCAATTTAGATGATACTCCAGTATCTACAGCAATTAAAGCGAAGAAAAAGATATGCAAAAAACAGAGAATATCTTTATTATATGATATAACACAGAGATGCAAGTCTACAAATATAGCAGTTCTTCACTTCTTTGCTCGGTTCTATTCATAGGTTATCAATATGGTAATATCCTGGAGTTAACAGCTGTTGGCATTGCATTAAGAGTGTTTTTAAAGTATTCCTCAAAAATATGCTGTTTAGCAGCCTCCAGGTACATTCGGCTCTTCCTCAGTTCCCTTTAGGGACATATTATCTCTTCCACTCAGTTCTCTGTGGAACTGAGAAGGTGACTGATTATATTGGGACAATCACAGCCAAACATAGTTTTGTAGACTTGGCACATAGATCTGTGCCAAAAGCATAGCACCTCTGAGTACGAGTGAAGATTTTATTACTGTAGTATCTGAGTATAGAAAGTGAGGATTTTTTGTTCATTTTGGTCTTTTTGGAGGTGAGTGGAAGTGCTGTGTAATGTATCTTCTCTGGATCTCAAGAGAGAAGAAACCCCATCCTTTTTGTTTAACCTGGTCATTCTGCTTAAGTTGAGGATTCCTCAGGAAATGTAGTTGTGCTCTTGGAGATAGGCTGTGTTTTACTGGGGAGATGAATGTATAAACAGAATGAGTCCTTGTCTCAAGAGTTTTTCAGATGGTTATACCTCCACAAATACAGTCTCTGGGTTTTCTCAGGAACATTAAAGTCCTGAGTTGTTATGTCATTGAGATGATGAAATAATAAATAAACTTGTAATAACAAAAATCACTTTACTGTGAAGATAAAAATTAAGCAGATTATAGAGTTCTTCACTCTGCTGTGATCTCTTGCTTCATAACAATGCCAAATATATTCAGGTGTCAGGAATCAGTAGACTGTCACAGTATTTAATTTTTATACTACGAGTTTAAAACTAATATTACCAGTTTTAAAGCTAGTCACTAGAGGACTAGTGACCTACATGTATTTTTATATATGATAATTTTTGTGAGAAAAAAAGAGAGGAAAAGGGAGCTGGGAGAGGAGCTCACAACTAAAATATTGGTGGCTTTAGGTAGCTTTTCACGTTATGGAACCTTTATCAATGGGAACCAAAAGGAAGTCATTGATATGTGTATTGATATATTTATAGATTTTAAAAATTAGATTTGATTAAGGATGAAGACTTGTGGAAAAGTAGATGTAAACTAGATACAGGAGTTACTGCTGAGTATGGGACTGAAATTTCTAAATAGTTTGAGATGTTTAAAATGTCTTGTCTTTGTTTCTTTCTCATTGATTGAACTATACCTTCAGGCTCGTTAAGATGACTGCTCAAAATGAAAGAGAAACACGTGTTTGAGAGTATAATTACAATTTTTTCAGAAAGAGATGTGCAGCTGTTCTTTCTCATGTCCTTTGAATCTCTTTAATACTGTTTTTAGCAATAAAAACCCTGGAGAAATCTCTGTGTAAGTGATGGCAGTTGGAACCCCATATGAATTGGAATTTGGAAGCAGGGCAAGAATAACTACCCCATTGCAATTATTGTACATTTATCTCATTTGCAGAGTTGAGACTCTGTTGGTTTAATTCATGCACAATTGTGTATGTTTTACCCAGAACTGTGTATAGTGTTGCTGCATCTTCCTTCCTTAAGAACTCTGTGTACTATAACTGATATGATGTGTTGCCCAAATTTTTTAGCAAGTCTATGAGATTGCTAATAGTATCATCTTGCATCTTATTGATCAGCAGCAAATTTTCTTTTTTATTTTTTTTTAACTTCTGTCCTTGCGAGAAAAAAAAAAAAAAGATAAATGTAAGTTAATTTAAGCAGCGGGATGAAATCTATGATAACTATTGACCTAGTTGTGATTCCTCAGCAATTTTATATAAATTTAACTGTGAGTTCAGTTGACTGACTCCTGATTTATCATATTGGAGAGAATAATTAAGATTTCTGAATATTGCACTACTCAATATATTTTGTCAGTTCCAAACTGAGAATCCATCTTAAAACTCTCAGGAAAAGGATTGTCTAGTTTTAGAAAGCTTTTTCAAATGGAAATAGTAATGGAATTAAGATGACACTGTTTGTATTTTTTTCTGCAAAGCTAATCCTCCATGTTAAATGATGCCATATGTTAAAAGCAAAATGAAAAAACCCACTTCTTGAAATATGAATTATGAATTAGTTCCATTTTTATATTTTCTTGCAGAAGAGGATAATTAAGCAAAGAGAATGAGTGCAGTTAACAGCATACTAGACTGTGCCATATATTTTCAGGACCAGTGATGATTCTCATGCTCGTTTCATCAAAAATCTTTTCAGTCTCTGCATTTATAATATGTTCGTTGTTGCAGCTGAACAGTAGCATCTTAGCCTTCAGGGCAAGCATCAGAAAATGGGGCTTTTATGGATAAAGACAATACTCTAATATGCTGTGGTTCTTTTGTTTTCCAGAATCATCCAGCCATACAACAAGAACAATAATGGTAAGTAAAGAGATTATAGGTATCGATCTATCTATAAGTATGATTTCTCCTTTGAAAACAAAGTGGATATAGTAGTATCCTATGCCATTGGCATGTTTTCTTTTAATAAAGTCCAGCATCACTGTAGAGCTAAAATGAGTCTGTCACATTTCATGGGAAATCTTGGAAAAAATGTGAGGCTGAATAGCTTAAGAAGTACCAGTGCTGTCAGTTTGAATAGGTGAAAAATCCAGTTACAGTTCTGTATGTTATGTGTTTAAGTGATTTTTGATTATGTCAAATTAATGTTGATAAAATCTCCAAGTTCGAAACAATAGCAGAGTAATTTCTTGCGCCACATTCCTATGAGGCCAGTTTCTGACTTAGACCTTGAGTTTGATAGTTTGGGTTCCAGAAACAGAGAAATGTTTAAACAGACAGATACATCTTAAAAAATGAGATTTAAAAGTTTCATGCATAAAAATGTCATGGATTTATTGTCTATCTTGGGTTTTTATAGATTGAGTAATGTTATCAGTCTCTTTCTGTTTCGAACTCCTAATAAAAGTTAGACAAGACTGAATGAAAATTCACATAAAGAAAAGCTTTCTCTGACTGGGAATGATTCATGCCTCTTCTTTAGATATTTGGGGGAAGGGCTATCTACTTTCGGAAAAAGAACAATTTTTGAGACAAGTTTTGAAATTTTAGAATAAAACCCAAGAAGACATGATGTAAGCTTGTTTGCTTTAATTCATACAGTTTTCAGGGTGTCTCTTCAAGTTTATTACCTCTTCTGTGTGTACAGCGTTTGTGGGATATGTAAGTTCCCACACAGAAACTTGATTCAACAGGGGACAAAAGGTAAATTTAGTTCATTGCCTTTGTGATCAATAGTCATTAATAGTCCAGTGCAAATGGATAATAAAGAGGTAAGGTCTACAGATCACAAAATTTCAGAATAGTAGAGATATGTTTGGAAAAAAGTCATGTTTTCTACTGGATGTGATGTAATCCTTGTTTGTCGCTAATTTGGTTTAAATAGACCTATTTCAAAATAAGATGCTTGGAGTTATTTGACTGTGTTCCTCGGATTCAGAATTTTTTCAGTATTTCTAGTTCTGCATTGGGGTCAGGAAAAGAGGTAGAGGTTAATGCTGAAGCTAGTGAAAACTTCAGTCTTCGTTTCCCCTTTTTTTTTTTAATTAACTTTACTCTGAAGATAACTCATATTTTGTCAGTCTATCTTTCCCATTAATGTATCAAAACAGCTCTAAAAACTGACCCAAGGAAATGGGGATTTTGCCTATATGAATGTATCCTTGCACTGAAACATGGCCAAACTTTAAAGAGATGAAGAGAAAGATTTTTAAATAGCTTGAGTTCTCGAGGTTCCTGTGTTGTGAACCTCTCCAGAGCTCTCTGCTGACAACTCAGACCGCTCTAACGTTCTGCAGTCAAAGCAGTGTGCAGTAATTGTCCATTGCACTTAAAGTACAATTAAAAGTAAGTATTCTGTTTAAACAGTGTGAAAAGATTATGAAATATGTCCACTCTTCTCTGCAATTAAAACATAACTGAATGAGTAACAGAAAATTTCTTACTCTCCCATGAGTAGGAGCAATGTCAGTAAAGCCAGGAAATACACTAGTCAGTGTGTTAGGAGCAGTGTGAGATTGCCTATTCAATACAGACATAGTAAAACTATACTGCTGTGATCCATTTTTAAATAGCTACTGCAATAAATAATTACTCTAAAAGAAAATCCCCTTTTTTGGGGCTGATTATGGTTAATATTGTAACAGATAAAAACTTAAAGCATGATCTTTAGTCAATCAGAATGTGAGTGGTATAGCAGCAAATGTGTATACTGCCTTGGATGCTTTGATGTAAAGAGGATTTTGTCTTACCAAGGCGAAGTATTTGCAAACCTTTTAAATTGCATTTGTAGGTGGTGAAACAACATAAGTTGTAAAATCTCATCTCATCTCTGAAGATTCAGATTTATGTTTAAGTCAAAGCCAAGGAGGAGCAGTGCATACTTAGCTAAGGAAAAAGAAGTGCAGTTTTTCTGAGAACATTATAATAATTATTCTTCTGTGTTTAAATACAGTGATGGCTCCCTATTTTTTGTTTCAGATTCTTGTTCGTAAAAATAAAAAACTAGAAAAAATTTAAGGGTCTGTGTGAGGGGAGGGAGGGCATCTTCTGTTTTAACTATTAAATAGATTACTCTTTATTCTGTGGGTAGATGCCTAATATAGTCTTTCATTACTGATTTACTAATTTATATAAATATTTACTTCAAAATGCTGCTTTTAAAGATATGGCTTATTCTGAGTTTATATAGCTTTTGTGTAACTTCTATGAAATACAGAGGCTATAAACACTGTAGTATTTTAGAACAGATCCTTTGGGAAGTCAACTCTTTTTTTTTTTTTTTTTTCTTCTTTTTTTTTTTTCCTCCCTTTCCCCTTGCACAGAAGAGTCATTGGATTTTCATCATTACATCTAGTTTAGGTGTTTTGTAAAAGGTTTGATGGCAAATCAGGAGATTCAGAAGTAATACTTGCATTGACTACCTGGTTTATTTCTTGAATATGATCTGTTGTTTGAGAATCTTTTTTTAAATTGCCTTCAGGTTTTGTAAATTAAAGTTTATATCCAAACTGAACGTATGCCGGCATGCTAGCACCAACATTTGTGACTCCACGCTGTGTGGAGATCCATATGAGCATGTTTTTAAAAATTTTACATTCATGTCAGATCTCCATGAATCAGTAAACTAAACCAGTCCCCAACCTTGATGCTTATTATAGAGGTATAATGCTAAGAACACTCCAGGTGTGGCAAAACAGAATCAATACCTGATTTAAACTTTTTTTTTTACATTTGTTTTATGCTATACCCTGTATAATTAGGTCAATGCAAAATAGATTGAACCAATTCATATGGATTATTACCACTCATCTGAGCATCCTGATTTCTTCTAATGACTTTTTTTTTTGATGTAGTAAGCTTCTTTTGCTCTTTTTTATTTGATTTGCATTTTTTGTTTAAAGATGAGACAAAACATTTTAAAATGCTAATTTAAGGCAACAGGATTGTATGTGTCTTTGGAATAGTATCCAAACTTTGTTGGACTGATAGCTGTCCCTGCAGCACGTATCATGTGTGCAGTGATGCTTTACAGCTAATTCCTTTGTTTCTCAGACATAGCAAAGCCTTATGCCTAGTGCACCTTGAATTGAAAGACCTGGATTTACAGTTAAACAACTGATTGAATTAGTAACTGTTTGAATGAGTGCCGCTGCTTCCAGAAGATTTAGCAGAGAAAAACACATTCTTATGTAGCTTCTTCATGAAAGGGACTCTTTCATTCATTGTCCCCTGGAGGTGTCTGACTTGCTCATTGGAAAATGAACGTTTGTGTATGCAAATGGGAGATTCATGCCCCTGCCAGGTGAGTTCTGATTAGCAGCACTTGCAAGAAGATCTCAAAAATCGAGCTGTGCACCAGCCTGTGAGAGAAATACCTGAAAAGAGCACCCACGGAGAAGCGTTTGAGCAGGGGACAGGTGAAGCTGTGAAGACACTAGAACAAACAGTCTTCCCATAAACTCCTCCTTGTTGAAAACCTTTAAAGGATTGCCTTTGGTCTCAGAGGTCTCTGAGGATGTGTTCAGTCTGCAGCATGGAGACCTGCTGTTCGGCAGGTGAAACTCTTCCCAGAGATAACTCTGTGCTTAGATATTTGTGTTCTTTATTGGATGTAACATTACCTGACCCAGCGCTCCTTTAGCCCTGCAAGGTTTTTCTTTCATGTGCACTTCTCATGATGTCTTTTGGGCATGGAACAGTTATGTCCTAGAGGTACTAGAGATCTAAACGAACATACCAGATTCAGATGAGGAAGAACTTGGGAGATACGAGTCACTCAGCACGGAGGAGGATTTGTCCAACACGCAGGTAGCATACTCTGAGTAGAGCCCCTGCTGCTCAGGTGCTTCTCTGTGATCTGCCTCTGGGATGTGGACCCTTAATACCAGTGGTGTTGTTGCAAAATTATAGCACAGCTTATTAGTGACGTATGCAATCAAAATCAAAATGCCAGCTGCTAATTGCACACAACAGTGTTATGATGACATTATTTGAGCTTGCTGCATGCAGGTTTTTTTGACTGAGTAGGGCTTCTGTGGTGGTCCAGGTCGTATGCCTGAGGCTTTCATAACCTTCGTAGTGTAACTGTGTGCTAGAGGGGGAAAATAAAAAAAAAATAAAAAACATTCAACAAGTACTTTGTATGAAAGTTAATTTTGCTCTTGGTGTTGGTATTAGTATGATAGTGGCATCAAATGCTCATATTTATAACAAGCATAGTGGTAAATATGTTTTTTGAGAGGAACTAATGAACTGATTTTCTACTCCTAAATTGTTCGAGAACTTCAATTGTTTTGATTGACTAGAAACTAAAGATAATGTGGTCCCTAGCACACAGACTGGAGAACAATTATCTTATTTTCTGTTGTCTTTAAGTGAAATGTAATTAATTTCTTCAAATAGCTTGAAAGGACTGAGGGAGAAGTGAAATAAAAGAGAAAATTCTAAGCAATATGATGCAACAGAAATGAGATTATGTTTTAACCCTTACGGTATTTTCTGTAATGTTATATCTTGCCTGGAATAAGAGTTAGGGTCTAATAAAAGTAGACAAAGCAGAAGTTCAGAACTGGTAATGACATCTGTCTCTGCCAGGGTAAAAAGTATTATAAAAAACCATACTTTTTCCATGAGGCTTAGCTGTTCTTCAGGTTTTATGCCATAGGAAGTGGACTTTTTGTACCTTGTATGTTTCCTGAAATATTTTTGCCTGTGTGTGTTGTTTTGAATAAAGGAAACAATTGGAGTATTAAAAAGGAGCCTATGAAAAGAGATAAAACATTATATTTGACAACTTAAACCCATTTCTGACTGGGGAAGCACAGGAAAAAATGGCCCTTTGAGCCCTTGAATGTTCCTCTGTAACGTATGACAGTGCCCATTGCCAGATAAAAATAATTGGTTTGGATGTACTGTGAAATTTTTGATGTATGGCAGCATTTTTCCATGCATGAATTCTTACTTTTTGAGCACTATCCACTTTGTCCACAAAGAGGTCATCAGTTAAATACATCCATGAATTTCTAATTTCATCCAAACTATGTATTTTAGCATGAATTTATTCTAAATAACAGCTGAATTACTTCTGGTAGCATGTCCTTTACTTTTTCTTCCCCACCAAAGCCAACACAAAAAAAAAAAAAAAAAAAAAAAGTGAAAATCAAACTGCAGTCTAGACACCAAATTTTAAAAAGTTAAAAACGCAGGAAAATATTTAGGAAAATCCATCCAAAGATGGATTTACAGCCCTGTGTGCAACAGCAACTAAATTCACCGTAAGCCTTATTTCTTTCTAAGACAAAGGAAAATAGTTTAGCTCTAAGAAAGAGTTATCTGTGACTCACTCAAATTTGATGTCTTGTTGCTCTTTTTGTTCTTGTTTGGTATTGATATGTCAGATCTAAGGAATCATAGAGGAGATTATTCAGTTATTTACACTAAAATAATGAATGCTAGAATTCTTTGTTGAATGCATAAAATTTTTCTTACTGGAGAGAGCAAACGGTGTGGATCAGGGTGTGTTAAAGGTTGCCGCATAATGTGAACGTAATAAATTGAATACGAGTGCAAGAATTGTGCAGAAGAAATGAGGCCTCTGTCTATTATTTCTGGCTGTTATGGTTTTTTGACATGATTTAAGAGATCAGTTTTGCATTCTGTTCTGATAGTCTTTGTGGATGTTACGAGGCTCTTCCTTACTCAATGTCTATGGAATCGGTCCCCGAATTAGAGGTTGCTCCTGTGAATGTGCAGAATTGTACACATTTTAGGAATATTACAAAAATGCTGTCAAGTAATGAGGAATACTTGTATTATTTCACCAAGAAATAGTCCTTCTATGAAAACATGATGCTGAATCCATGCGAGATAAAGTAAGCAAGACTTTCATCTTTGTATAATGTCTTGTAAGATGTCAGTTTTAATCAAATAATGTTGTTATTTAGTTCTGCTGATAACTGATCATGTGGCAAACGAGTGTTACTACCAAAATTAATATCTTTGTCATGGGATATTCTTCCAAAATGTTACCTATATGCCATATAGAAAATATTATTTTTACTCTCTCCTTTTCACGTATAAGACAACAGCTTCTCTCGTTAGATCTGACTACTTACCCTCTTGTTGCACAGCTATTCCAGTTAAAGGTTTAGTGGAAAATTAATGCATCATTTTATGTTTAATGTTATTTGTATTAAAATGAAGGCAGGCATGTTGCTATGAGATCTGATATATACTGGCAAGTGAACCTAAGAACCATGGCACCAGCAGGGTGATATAAACCTTTGTTACCCTGCTTCCTTTTAGGTTAGCAGCACTTGTCTTATACAGTGATGTTTATTTAAAAAGAGAGAGATACAGACAGACAAAGGACGTATGAAGTGAGAAGTATAGATTAAAAAAAAAATAGATTGATGCCATACTTGGATGAAAAAACAAATCTTGTCTCATTGGCTAAGGTACTGGTTTTTTTCTTAGAAATTGTGAATTCTCTCCTGAAGTCAACAGGTTTCTGTTGTGGAACTGCTTAGTTCATGGAATTGATTCATGCCTCAATTTCTCTTTGTATAAAATTACATTAAAAATGGTTAATTTAGTTTTTAAAGATCTTTCAGAGCTGTGTGTGTAAAACATGTCAATGTGCACAGGTGGTTACCTGCCCCTCAGGTACTGATTGAGGAAGACTAGCTGGTCTTTGAGAAGGATGTAGGCTGCCCTTTACAGGAGAATTAGTTGACAGAATTATGCTTATTCTCAGGCAAATATTTTTCCCCTTTTTTGTTATGATTTCAGCATGCTGCTCCTCATGTTCATATGACTAATGGTAAGGCCTTGCAAGCCAGTGCAAGTGCCATTAAGACAAGCACCATTCCAGTGATCAAGAGACAGAGGCAAAATTGGCTTGATGCTTCAGATGATGGTTTCTTTATAGCTACAGAAGAGACCAGGTAAGAGAAGTGAATCCTAAGCAGGGAACGAGGCTTCAATGTATACATGTTATTGACTCATTATTTGCATAAGTTTTTGTCATTATTATTTGAGGTTGCGGTACAGTGAAAAGCAATGTTACCTCAAAGTATACACCCAACTTTGCATCTCTTGCATACTAATATTATCAGTATTTCATTAATAAGATTTGGTCAGTCAGGGCTGCTTCTCTGTGGCAAAGATCAGACCTTTTTAATTGTTACTAATTGTAGTTCATATACAATGAAGTTTAACACACCTCTGATCATTCAGAAAAAATGTAAATGCATCCACAATGTAGGCTATACTCTAAAATTTTCAGAACTTGAAAAATCTGCAGCACACAATAGAGAAATGTACATCAGACAGCGTCTTTTCCAGGCTAGAAATGGATTTCATTTAAGAGCAGCTAAGATGATCGTCTTTTGTTTGCAGATTAATTGGTAAAATTTAATGAGCTTTTTGCTTTTCCCAGTAGAGCCTCATGTCATGCAAGACTCACTATTTTTCTGGAGGCTACTCTGTTCTTTTCTTCTCCTGTTAAGATCTGGCCATTCCCTGATCTAATTCAGACTGAGACAAGAAGTTATAGTCTATTTTTGTAAGATGTGATTGCTGGGCCTGTTATTTAAAAGCCTTTAAAATCTTGCTTAAGCAAGGGGATTGTTACTGCAAGTAACATGAGACTGCTCGTCACTTCTGTGATTATTTCACAAGCCTAGAAAAGCTTACAAGCTTTTAAACCAGAATGTAAATAATAAAATGAGGGAAGAGAAAGAACATATGTAAGTGTAGAGCTAACCAAGGAAAATGTGCATATTTAGTCTCGTTTATGGTAGTTTCAGCTAGGGAATTCAAAATACTAGTATGTGACTGGTGGTTATTTCAAGATCAATTAAGTACAGCACTTCATTTTTCTTTTGTCTGAGGAATGCAACAATTCAGAGAGGGTGGTAGGAGGATGATGAGCTCTTAGGCTTCTGATACCTAGCCCAGATTAATAGCATTCACTATTTTGACGGTTGTTTGATGCAAAGAGCTTAGTGGTATCAGACTAATCCCTCATAATTATATCCTCAAAGCTGAGACTGGTAACCTTTTGAAGTTCTCGAATTTTCAGTTGGTTGGTTTTTTTTTGTTTTTTTTTTGTTTTAAATCCTATAACATAGTGCCTGTCAAAGGATGAGATGGGTCCTACACTAGCAGTGTTTTTCTCTCACCACTGCTCTTGGAGGTAGCCCAGACAACTGGGCTAGATGAGATGTTTAAATTCTAGATGATCAAACTATGGTGAGATGACTCCTGCCTTTGCAAAACACTCATCCGTGATAGCCTTGCCTGTTCCCATCCTAGGAAATCCCCCTCTCTGCTCCCATGGCCATCCCATGGACACCATACCCGAGCCAGGCAGCGAGGCAGAACTTGCACTGTCTCCTCCTCTGCACCCATGGTGGTGGTAGACAAGGGGCTTAGTCGTCAGGACTCTGTGTCTGCTGCTCTCCTCCAACTCATTAAACGTTTAAGCGTGAAATCTCCTGGTAAGGGGAACATTGGGTAGTTAGACCTCATTGATACTCCCTTGAACAAGGAGGTACCTGAAAATGTCACGTCATGCCGTGTCACGCTGACCTGCGCTGGAGGAGCTGGCGTGGATCGAGCCCCCAGTACAGCCGTTCCCAATCTGACCAGAGCTAGCCCTGTAGGTTTAGTGCTGGTACGTAGCCATGCACCTTCCTTCTGTGTTAACAGCACACAAGGAGTAATAGTGCCCCACCTACATTAATCTGCAAAACTATATCTAATGGGAGACAGCAACTTTTTATCCTTTGAAACTCTGTTTCACATGAGATCTGTTCCTTCTCTCCCACAGACCTTTTCCTTTTTTTTCTTTTTCTCCTGTCCCCATCCCCATTGATTCCTTTCCTACCTCCGGTATATTTTCTCCTTTCCAGCGTTTTCCTTTGATCCTTTGATTCCCTGCACATTTATTCCAAGATTATATAGAACAGTGTAGCTCATTCTCCTCTCAGCTCTTGCTTGCCTCTGGCCTTTACAACTCGACGTGGAAAGCACGAAGGGGAGAATCACCTCCCTCGGCCTGCTGGTCACACTTCTTTTGATGCAGCCCAGGACACGATTGGCTTTCTGGGCTGCAAGCGCACACTGCCAGCTCATGTTCAGCTTCTCATCAACCAACACCCCCAAGTCGTCCTCCTCAGGGCTGTTCTCAATCTCTTCATTCCCCAGCATGTATTGATACTGGGCGGTTGCCCTGACACATGCTAATTACAGCAGAAGGAAAAATATTTTTCAGTGTAATTACAGCCTGCAAAAGGGAAAATATTTTTCAGTATAATGTTTTGTTTGCAACAATCTATAACGATTTTTATTTATCTGTCATAAAATATTTTTGTTTGTGCAGTGAATTAAGGTTTAAGATGCATATTTCTATAAAACATCAAGTAGGGAGTCTAGAGGGTAAATTTTCTCAGACATTTAGCTAAAATGCATTTTCTCTTTTGTTGACAAAAGAAAATGTAATATTGCTGCCAAACGAAATAAGGTGCCAGTGTATTTCATGCTAACCAAGCCAAAGATGCCAAACATGAGCATTCTAAATTTTATTATCTCTCAGTAGATAAAATGAATGTATGTATTTATGCCTATAGCCCCATTTTAGAAGATGTTTTAGAAGAACTATCATCCTTCCCCCTCTGAATTTAAGCACCAGTCATATTTCTCTAAAGTTAAATGTTGTATATCTAATTGCTCACAGATTCCAGATATTTGTACTGATGAATGAGCAGGGAGCTAGATATTCAGAGCAGTGAAAATAACTGTAGAAGTTATATATCATGTAAACTTCACTCAGGCCACAGTTCAGCAGTGACTGCCGGTACACTTGAAATTCAGTGTAAGCATATGTATCATTGAAACAAAAAGACTGGAGTTTACATCTGAAGATCAAGATATTTTAGGTGCTGAGGAATGCACTTTATATGAGTTGTAATGTGCATCCTCATACATTTCAGGTTTTTTTGTTTTTGTTTTTTTTTTTAGCTCTAGCTATTTGAAAGCAGTTTCCTCCCCTGTTATGTTTCAGTATCTGCACATCTGGGAAAAAATGCCAGCATAATTCCCATTTGTATTCCACTCCCTCCAAGCCCAGAGGCCTCTGCAAAGCTGAGCTGCACGTTAGCATGGTGCTGAGCTGCAGATGTTACAGCGCCCTGCCAGTCTGGGGAAGGGACAGAGTGAGTTTGCATCTGCCTACATACTAGTGCCATGAATGAATCACCCGTATGAGTTTCTTGAATGATCTATATCTATATATAGAGGTCCCCTTCCTGAATTCCTGTCAGCATGCTCAGTGAATTTTGCCAGTAAATGCAGAGGTCCCTGGTTTTGCTATTTCATCTGTAGTGGCAAGCTGCACTCTCCATTCAAAAACCTTCCTCGTGCCTGTGTGCCTCAGCTCACTTGGGATTTCCACACCTCTGTTCAGTCACAGGCTCACAGCAGGGATTAATCTAGGCAGAAAACCAGGTGACAGTTTGAGAACACTTACCTTGACATTACATCATAATTTTATGTTAACCTTTGCTGGATTTAACATTTTTGTATTTTCCTTTATTCTTGCCCTTTTTGAAAGAAAAAGGAATTCTCATTCCCTACTGCGAAATAACTTGCTCAAGATTTTATTCTAAAGTGCAACTCTATTTACACAATTCATTGAAAAAAATCACTCTTTAAAGAGCCTTACATTTATCACTACTCACCAAGGGAGATGCCTTATTTCTTTTTAATATTCTTAGTTATTAGCTGCTAGGATTCTCGTAGCACTCGGTGCATGCTTTAGGATCAACCGAAAGTCTCATAGCTATAAAAGGATTTTATTCAGGACATTGTTCTAAATCACCTTTGCTATAAGGAAGCTTTTTGGGTTTTATTCCCCTTTTGTTGACTAGCTGTAATGGGGACTTTTTTGTAGGCCCTATTTGAGGTTAATCCAGAAAATGATATTGTGTGAAATTAAATTCTTTATTGAATCACCATTCTAGGAGTTAAATAATGATTTAAAAAATGGGAAAATTCATATTGTGATCTCCAGAAGTTTAATAAAAATGTAATATATCAGCTTAGTATCTGATGAGTTATGTAAGACATAATAATAATCTAAGTATTAAAATAGTAATATAGCTGTTGGATGTCAAGGGAAATTCATCTGTTGTTTAAAACTTTTCTTACCAATTCTAGGTATGCAGTGTGCATACAGTTCCTATACACATGCTCTGTCCACAACAGAATGTATGTGCATGGTAATGATCATACTTGTATAGGGACAGCTAAAACACTGTGTGGAAAATGAATTTTTTTTCCAGCATTTGCATTATAAAAAATGTGTGGAAATGTTTGGCTGAATAGGTTGTAGCAGCAGATTCCATATGCTTTCCCTTTATGGGCCAAAAAGCATATTTGTATATAGAACTGCAGCTGAATGACTCGATGCTTGTTTCCTTTCAGTGCTGAAGCAGTTAGAAACCTTCTCACGGTAAGTGCAACTCCATTGGGAATGAGTTAACTTCAACTGCTAAAATTAGAACGTGATCTTTAGCTGTTACCAGCAGACGTTGCTTCCTTTATGCTGATAAAATGCATCCCTGTGGCAGCATTATACAGGCAATTTTCGTATTCTTCACTTTATGTTCTTTCTCCAAAAGGAAAAGCTTGCCTTGATTTGTTGAGGTACTACGTAAGGGTATTCCAATTGCTGTGATAATTACCTGATACCACTCATTTTTATTTATGCATGTCTCATAATACACACACAAAGCTTGAAACCAAAGTTGCATGTTGAGACAGAAAAGAATGTGAAGCTGACAACAAACTTCAGCAAAATGTTGAGCCTTGCTTGGCCATCAGTGGTCTGGTCCTCTGGCAGAAGTCGGGAAGAGTAATGCTAGTGCTCACAGCCCTTTGTGCTCCTGCATATGCTGCTAGCACTCTTTGCACTGTAGCTTTATCACTGTAAACCCTAACCTGTGCCTTTAAAGCAAACTGAAAACTTGAGTGAACCAAACCCTTCTAAGTATCATCAATATTAACAGTTGTGAATGACCTGCCCTTCATCCTTCTCCCTCCCACATGTGTTTTAATCGATGCTTAGACAAGGTCAGGCACAGTGTGAGTTACCACTCATAGCACATTGCTGGGAGAGAAGTGGAGGAGTGTCTCCAGTGCCTGGTGTCTGCTTTACAGCGCATAGATGCTGGTCTAGATCAAAGTCAGGGTTCCAGTTTTGCTCCTTCTTCCTCTTAACATTTGCAGTTTGTATCACAGAAATGTTCATAGGTATGTTTGTTTTATTTTTTCACCGACTGTGCAAAAAAATTTGTGCACCAAAGAGAGTATTTTTAATATACACTCAGGGATGATATCTAGTATTCATAAAGATGAGGCAATTTGATTTGAATTGGGATGCTGGTTTTTAACTTTCACCATGCTTGAATCTGGGGCATAGTGCGTTTTCATTTCTTACCTGCATGGCACTGTGCCCATTAGACCCTGACCCTGTAACCGACTACACGAAGATGCCTGTCTGCAGCCTTAGAGCATCAGTTGCAAGCCTGAGAATGTGATGCACCAGCTACTGCCCTCTAACCAAAAAATCAGCCTCTAAAGATGTAATTTTCTGGTTCCTTTACTTTTGTTGTATTATATAGTTGTCATACCTTGAAAAGCAAGGATTACAGAATATATCCCTTAGAATTATATCTAATGTTCCCTGATGGGATTGCAAATATCTTACTGATTGCTGCAGCTGAGTACAGGTGAGCTGACAACCATTTCCAGTCACTGTGGCAATACTGCACATTGGAAATCTGGGGAGAAACTGTCCTTGCTACAATTCAGGAGTGGTCTTACTCGTCTGACTACTGCTCAAAGCTGTATACTCATGAGAGTGAAAATCCACAGCCTAATAGTTTCTGTGAGCTATTATTTTGACCTTATTTAGTGTGAACTATTCATGAATGATGCTCACTATCTTCACACCTTATAAATCATACTTCTCTGAGCTCTAGCTGAGGCACTGTAATACAGAGTCGCAACCAGTGGTATAGAAACTAGATCATAATCTCTTGACATTTGTTTCTCGTTGAGCGGTTTTCATGGACCTACAGATATTTTCTTTCACTATTTATCTAGACAAGTTTTTCCTCTGGCTCCTTTTACAATCCCTAAAGTCAAAGTAACACCACTATGATAAAGTTTGGTTTTAAAAGCAGAATCATTCCATGAAGCTAAAATCAGCTCATTTGAAGAATGTGAATATCCTTTTAACGTATAAAAGGAATAATAAATATATACATGGAAAGCATGTACATAACAAACCCCAAAGTTCAGTATAAGTTCTGCCATTAGAGCTGGTAGGTTTGAAGAACGTGTGATATTAAGAGTTTTGCTTTGTCATTTTTGTTATTTTTTGAAGTAAAACCATTCTGGTTTGGAGCTGTGTATTAGTCTTCTCACAGTTTTAAGATGAAGTTTCAGTTTGTAGTAAGCTACTTGTCCTGTTTAAAGCTACATGGTAAGGGAAAGATGTTGTAGTGGTTGGAGTGCTTACCTAGGACTTGGGAAAATGAGATTCAGTTCCCTGCTCCCTCACACACTTCCCTTGAGACCTCCAGCAGATCTTTTAAGTCTGTATCTCCAAGAATTTAGATGCCTAACTCCTCATATCAAAATTAACAAGGTGCCTAAATGATTTATTTGTTGAAGATTTGGAGGCAACTGTTAATATGCATTCTGTTCTTTGTCTGAAGAATCAGATGAAGAGTACACAGAGCAGGTCAGAAGCCTTATGTGAGATCATCTTTCAGAGAAAACTTTTTACCTATATTGGTAATATAGGTAAAAATATATTGGTAATAAAATCTCATGGAAATGCCACCCACAGGAGTCCAGAAGCTGCTGACTGAAACTGGGCGATTTGTTAGTTTTAGAGGTGTCTCCACTGATTAGCAGGTGAAAATTAATTAGTGCACAGCATTGGTGATGACTGCAGAGAGGCTGAGGCTGAGAACAGATGGTTGTAAAAGACCTAGTTACTGCTGCCTGAAAAGTCACACTGCTGGGTCTTGTAAAATGATCATCTGATCTTACACTGTTGTGAGCAGAAATTCAAATATGCTGCCTCTCTGTGGTGGCTTAGATACCAAAGTATATTTTGCAACTGCATCTTAGGTAGGAGCTTGAATGTGGTTAATTCACATGACTCAGCTAAAGAGCAGTGACACATTTAGAGGTGTTACTCAACCACTTGCAATCTTCTCCACTCCCCTTGACAAAAGTAATTTCACAGTTGGACCGTAGCTGCAGAAGTACCCAGAGCATTTTATATTGGGGAAGGAAAATATAGTTTCTGAAATGAGACTTTTTGCAAAATTTTATTGTCGTGCAAAACTTGGGAGGGGAAAAAAAGTGAAACACGGGGATGATAATAAATTCATTAAGGATTGTCTTAAAGATGTCAGTGGAGAAGCTCCTGTATAAGTACTTAGCTTTTCCATAAATCTCATTCACTTTGTTAGACCTTCCAGACCCAATTCAACAAAGCTCTGAAATGCATGCCTGACCCCCCACTGAGGGCAGTCAGTCAGCTAGAGCACGTCACCTGGTCAGTAATACGCCATATACGTCAGATGTTAAATTGGGATGTCATACATTTCTTCTAACCTCTTTTCTTACAGTTCTTGACAAATTTTGAACTTCCTGCAATATGGTTGGCCATTTCAAAAGGTTTTCCTTCAGAAGCTTTTGTGTTTGTGCAGAGGATTTGATGTAGCTGAACCCAGTCCTCTTTACAGGATGTTTTAACTGAAGGTCTTGTGGCTTAGCTTCTTGTTAGCTTGCTGCTCAGCTTTTTCCTAAATCCACATCCCTAGTGGGAATGTGTCATCTTGTAATATTTGGTTGTCTTCTACTGTGGGAGTTACAACCACTTTGGTTTTGAACAAGAATAAATTTTTCTGTAAAGATGCATCTTTGTATGGGAAGCCGATTTCTCTTTTGAAGCCTTGGGAAACATGCAAAATAACAATAAAAATACTAACTTGTCAGACCAGCGTAATCTTCTGCATATTTAAGTATCAAAGAGAAGATAAAGACAAGATTAATTATAGAGTTGTTACCTATAGCAAGGCTAGAGTAACACTAGTTTAGGGCTAAAATTTGTTTACTCATAGTTTCTAAACCACAGAGGTTTATCACGTTCTATGTTGGCTATTGATGATCTGAATCCCCAAACAGTGCACAATATCAGTCTTAAGAGAAAAAATTTACAATTTCTGTGCTATATGAGCAATAGTAATCAGTAGAAGCTGGGCATAGGGTTAAGAACTATGTCATTTGAAGGCAGAGATACTAAAACTAGGTAAGTCCTGTGGTGAGTGCACTGTTGTTAAATGGCAAAGAAGACGATAAAACTGCACTGGGGTGAATATGTTCAACAACATAATATCACTGATCCTGGCAGTCTTAAAATTCACACAGAACTGCCCACTAACTTATTTATAAGTTGTCCTGTATTGGATTCTTCTTTTAAAATTACAGATAGAGGACTTAATTCTGAGCTAGTCTTTATTTCAGTGTGTGTCTTTAATAATTTATTCTTGCAATTTTCCTGTGATAGTTTTGTGTTTTGTTTTTTGGGGGTTTTTTATTTTGTTTTGTTTTAACTCATTAAGATCTTTTACATGCACAACCTTCTGGCATTAATGTAAGTAAGGCTGTGGAAAAACAAATGTTAGTTGTTCTCTGTAGCGAAAAAGCTTGGCTAAGTAACTACACGGGCATTTTAAATGTAAAATACGGAAGAGAACATAGTGACTGTGAAAGCTAATCACAGAGATAACTATCAGTTCTTGTCAAACCTCTAAGGAGATGTGACTGGCTGCTTTCCTTATTGTGCTATGGATAGAGGCTAAAGTATTTACCTGGCAAAATAAAACAGAATTGTTGTTCTAGTGGAAAAAGCACAGATATGCACTTCAAAATTCCTGAGTTGCCTCTTGCTTGATGTGAGACACCATACAAGTCATTTAACCTCTGAGTAACTCCACCTTTTTGTCTGTAAACTTGAATAATATTGATGTATACCTACTCTAAAGGATGCTGTGCAGTTTTTAGTTAAGCAGCCCAGCAAGTACTATGAGACACTGACGTGAAAAGTGCTGGCCATAAGAGTGGAGAGCAGGATGAGTGGCAGAAAATGAACTTGATATGGACTTTTGGTGCTGTGAATATGAAAAAAAAGTGAAAATACAATTTTTGAAATGAAGCTGACCTTAGAAATTAGCATCAAATCATTGTGTGGGAAAGCTTTCTTCTGTTGATGCCACAGTACAGGTTTCTAATCCATAGTCTGCACTGGAGCTTCTGTGTGTAGATAAGTGCTGATTATGTGAGAGATTGATGGTGTGGAGCAGAGCTCCAGGGGACAGTTTTGGGAGGGTACTTTTGCTCTCCAGCCATTTCTGGTAAGAATTATTACTTTTGATTTTCAGCCCTTGCTTAATAGCATGTAGCCAGAATGCTGAGAAACCAATCCAAATATACTATATGGGTACATGTATTTTTCCAGGAAAAGTACATGCATAATTGATAAAGAGAAAAATATTTTCAATTTTTTTGAGCCTCGGGTAATACTATAAGCTGTAATACTGTAAATAAAGTGTCCAGGCCAAAAACCTCAGATGAAACCTACCCTGAAGTAATCAAACAAGATAAGGAAAGAAAGAAAGAAAGAAAGAAACAAAAATACTAAAAAAAATACAAAAAGTTTTGTGTTGAAACAGTTCTCCTAATAAATAAAATATTAAAGTAGTTAAGATGAGGTGTTGACAGTGTGTCAAAGTGGGAAACAGCAACAGAATTAAATTATCTTTTTTTTTTTTCTTCTATGGAGCATATAATGGAAAGTTTTCTGTTATCTTGGACTTAGATAAGCATATTTAGTTTATACAATATTTTTGAAAATTATCATAACAATATTTAATGTTGCTGGGAAAATGGCACTTAATGCTTGTAGACCAAGGCCAGAAACAGGAGTTGTATGTTCTGAACATTTTTGCCTGGGAAAATACTGGAATTGTGAATTAATATGCAAGATGTTTGAGGAGTAGTTGAAAGCAACATTGCATTCCACTCTCAGCCAGCTCTAATGCACCTTCTCTTCAATTTCTTGCCTGTGTCAGGAAAAAATACATGGTGCCACGCAGGTAAAATTTTCGTCTAGTAGCAGGTGCTGTTTAATCATTATAGAGAATGGCCATCCTTCTGTGGAATAACTAGATGGTAGTGAAAATTCCTGTTGGTAGAGTATAAAGTTATGTAGTGTAGGAACTCACCCACACCCTGCTGATATGGTTAGGAAGAATAAAGAAGTTGCTTTGAGATCTGGTGTTTGTGCCTGTGAGCTGTGGAAGGCTTTCTGGCTCCTTGGATACCTGGGGTGCCTACGTGTTGACAAATTTGCAGTGATCTCGTGGGCGCGTTCATGGGGCGGAGAGGTTAAGCAACTCTTTCTTTAATACAGCAGGCTTCATGTTGTAAAACATCTGAAGTTGAGGGTAACTAAGCAGAGGCTAATGAATTTCAGATAAGGTGCAGAGCAGCTGTCCCATCGCTCAGGTTACAAGTCTGTTGAAGCCTGAGCCATTGTTTTGTTTTAAGGAGTATGAATAATTTACTTTTTACCCATTCCTTTGAGCTACCTTTTGCTAGGTCTTATCGATTCTGATCCCCTCTACGAAGCTGGATGCTGTGGTGAAAGGCCGTGAATCCAAAGGCAGGCCTTTCTCCCTTCTTCAGGGGGACAGCTGTGGGAGGAACGTGGTGCTGAGCGTGCTTCTGCTGCTGTGTAAAGTGAGGTAACGTCACTGCTGAGTTCACAAAGCTCCACTTGAGATGCAGAGCAAGTCCTGAGCTGCTTAACCCATGTTGAGCTCTGTGGTGTCTGTCATTCCTACCAACCAGATCGAGGGTTTTTTTCAAACTGAGCCTACAGTCTAGAAGGGCCTCCATGCTACTGGCTTCTGCGAGAAGCCAGCCTTGCACCGAAACCGATATGTAATTGTTTTATCCTAGCCGTCTGCAGTAGGTAACTTCAGTCTCTTGGTGGTAAGTACCAAGATCACAGATGAACTGGGAGAATAATTCCATTGCTGATTGTTAAGATTTAGATTTAGTCATCATGTGATGACTGCTGTATGACAGCATCTGTTTATAATGTTTCTTTAGGGGTTAAAATATTTTCTCAGTTCCAGCATTCAGCTGAAGTAATGAATAGTAATGCTGAGAGTAAGACTTTGCACTTCTTTAATTCCTTCTCTCTTAGCATCTTAAACCACCTTAAAATATTAATGAAATATGCTATTTTCAGGGGAAATGAAAGCATGGAAAAACCTGTTGAACAAGGTGATTTTTTCCAAAGGCCATGCCAGTTGTTTGCAGTAAAACTGGATATAAATAATTTCAATTACTCTTGTTCTAGGCACGCTAAAAATGCACACAAAGAGATGGCTTCTGCTCTGAGGAGATTCTGATATGAGTAGATTTTAAATCAAAAACAAGTAGAAAGGGACAGAGAGGTGGATTATGCCATGCAACACGTCAGGCATGGCACAGTCATAGAAGTTGGTGCTTTAAACACTTGACCTGGATTTTTCCTCCCAGTAAAGAAAGCACTCAAAAACCATAATTTATTGCTCTCTATATATATATGCATAGTAACTATAAGCTATTGCTCTGAAACACAAAATGTCAGAGAAGCCCTCAAGGTGGTGCAATGCTTGAAAACACTATATTAAGCTGCTTAGGAAGATATGACATGGTAATTTGTAACTGGTGTTATTATTGTTTATAGGCAACAGTTTGCTCCATATAATATTAATGCCAAACTGGAAGATAAACACAAGCAAAGGAAAACATTTCCTTGCTAGGAGGAGAAAAATAAGACAAGCTTTTAAAATATTTAAAAGATATTGGCATGTCTGCAGCAGCACCTCTTTCGTCTTATAAAGGTGGTACCACTCTATATGAGTTTTAAAATGCAACTAATTGGCCCATGGCAACTACTTTCCATTAGTCCAATGCTTATTAAAACACTTCCAATTTGTTTTATAAATGAACATTTCACAAAGGAACTTATTTTTAAAAGGCATATCAGTGTTAACCCACTTCTGCCTTCCAAACATATTTCTCCTAGTTTCTGTCATTTTGAGGTTAGACTAAAACCTTAAAGGAATATGGGTAAGCTTTAGCCTCAAAGTGCTGAGGAAAAAAAAATTGTTAAAACCAGCAAGCCAAATAGACAGTTAAATAAAATACTTTCCACACAGGTAGAAATGTAGGAAGTGCTGTGAGTCATTCCATCTCTCTCTAACCTGTCAGGTTTCTAAGGATCTGTGCCTACAGCTTCATTGAAGTTACATTCTCTTTGAGTAGACAGCATTGCACACAAATTGGGGCCTTTCACTTTGTTTAAAAGCCTGTTAAAATTAATAGAAAGCCTATCAGCCTCCTAAGATAGTGCCCACTCTTGTTATTTAATCCACTGAATAATTATCACAAAATCACAGAATGTTAGAGATTG